CCTCCCCTGTCCAGCGCATCTTCGGGTCCTGGTGACACATGGAGAGCGGCACCGAGGTGGTGGCCATTGACTGCGAGATGGTGGGGCTGGGGCCCCGAGGGGAGAGCGGCCTGGCTCGTTGCAGCCTCGTGGACCTCCACGGCACCGTGCTCTACGACAAGTTCATCCGGCCGGAAGGGGAGATCACTGATTACAGGACCCTGATCAGTGGGATCACACCTTGGCACATGCAGGAGGCCACGCCATTTGCCGTGGCCAGGCTGGAGGTGAGTGGAGGGCGGCGTGCCAGCCAGGCGGGGGGGAGGGGGTAGGGGAACCTGCGGACAGCCGCCCACCATCCGCACACACGCTTCCCGGCACCTCGTCCAGGTGCCACATCTGTGACCTGTGACCCCAGCCGTGGAAGATTCCCCCCTCCGCCTCTGCATAACTAGGGCACGGAGAAACCTGTTGGTGTCTTCTTCACGTCCCTGAGAAGCCTTCCTCCATCAGACAACCTTAGACTCACGTCTGGGAGCAGCCTTCAGGGCATCGGGTCCACCTTGCTGGTCTTGTGATGGGGGGAACTGAACACCCCTGATGCCCCCCACAGCGTGATTCTTTGCTCTGCCCTGAGCTGCCACTGGTGAACCCCGTGAGGAAATGAGGAAAGTGAGGCCCTCGCCGGCTGGGCCCTGGTAGCGGGCCCCAGGTCTTGAAGAACAGGCCAGAGGCCCCCCTCACCCACCCCCAGGCTCCGGGAGCTTGTTCCCGGACCGCACAGTAGGGCCCTACCGTCGGCTAGAGGTCAGCGTGTGGCCCCAGGACCTCCCACCCTCCTGCCTCACCTTGTTGTGATGACTTTTCCAGTCTCCACTTTCTGTTTCTGTTTCTGTTTCTCTGAATCACCAGACGGGAAGCGAAGTCTAGCACCTGCTTTAGTCCCTTCTGGGAAGGTTTGGAGGGGCGAGTAAACTCATCAGTATCTAGGCTGCCAGGGCTCGGGGAAGTCCCCGAAGAACAGGGGACCGCGGTCCGTCCCAACTGTGCACACCGCGTGCGTGCCAGGCTCCAGGCGCTGCAGAGACACCCACGGCGGTAGCTACTGTTTACTGAGCGCAGGCTACTCGCCGGGTGCAATCCTGGGCACTGGCCGCCCGGAGCTCACTCACGCCTCCCGAATGGCCTGCCGCGAGGCCTCCCAGGAGCCGGTAACTCACAGTTGGGAGGGGCCGGTTTTGAATCTCGGCCGGTGACTTAGCAGCTCCTTGGGCGAGTTACCTGGGCGGCGTCTCTGCACCCAGTTTCTCCCACCTGGAAAAGAAACTGGGTACGATAGCAGCAGCAACCTCATAGGATTATTGTGAGGCTTGAGAAAGCGCCTAGAGGGAGCGCCTGTATTATGTAAGGACTCCAAAAATGTTAGCTATTACGAGCGTCTGTTATCCCCATGTTGTAGATGGGGAAACTGAGGCCTGCTTGAACTAAGTGTATTGGTTTGCTCGGGCCACCATGGCGGAGTAGCACGGACTGCGGGGCTCAAACAACAGAAATGTACTGTCCCAAAGTCCTGGAGGCAGGAGGTCTGAGCTCAAGGCGGTAGCAGAGATTTGTCTCTTCTGAGGCTGTGAGGGAGAGTCCTTTCTACATCTTTCTCCCAGCTCCTGGGGGTCTGCTGGCAGTCTTCGGTGTTTCTCGGCTTGTAGAAGCATCACCCTAATATCTGCCTTCTTGTTCGAATGGCGATTGCCTTCTGTGCCTGTTTTGTGTCCCCCACTTCCCGTTTATGAAGACACCAGCCATATCGGATTAGGGCCCACCCTAATGACCCGATGACCAGTACTTACATCTGCAATGACACTGTTTCCAAATAGGTCACATTTTGAGCTATTAGGGGTAGGATTTCAACACAGGAATTGTTGGCAGGGGCGGGGGCGGGGGGACACAATTCAACCCGCAAGACTAAGTGACTCACAAAGTTTTAGGTAACTAGATGTGGTCAGGACTCAGAACTCAGGCTCAAAAGTCTAGGGCTGTGTGTCCAACAGGGGGCTGCCAGCCACACGTGGCTGAACACCGCCAGTGTTCAAATACCTCCCATGGCTCCCCATTGCCTGAGGTCCCCCCAGCACACACTCATGGCCGTCCAAACCCTACCCACCTGCCATTCCTGCCTGCCCTTACAGCTCAGCCATCATCCAGCCGGTGCTCTTCCAAGCCCCTCCCCCTGCCCTCTCCCATCCCTGCCCCCGGTCCAGGCAGAGGAGTCCTTCCTGATGCCCTTCCCCACCCTGTCCACCACCGCTACCTCCCCACACTGGACTCCGTAGTGGGGGGCTCTAGTTCTCCTGGCTGTGGCCCCTGTGCTTTATTTATTTATTTTTGTTTATTATTTTTGAGAGAGAGAGAGAGAGAGAGAGAGAATCCGAAGCAGGCTCCTTGCTGACAGTGCAGGGCCTGACACGGAGCTTGAGCTCACGAATCGTGAGATCATGACCTGAGTGGACGCTTAACTGACTGAGCCACCCAGGCGCCCGGACCCCCACCCAGGCACCCCGGCCCCTGTACTTTAAAGCTTGTCTGTCCACACACATGGCCTGCCTCGTTCCAGGTTCCTGCTGTGTACTCTGTCTGCCCCCAGATTGGATGGTGTGCTTTGCACACAGAAGGTACCCTGAGAATGTTTGTGGGACTACAGTCGAACCGATTTTCACAAAATACAGAGTTCTGGCAGCGGCGTGGAACGAAATCGCCTCTGCCCTCGTGCTGGCCTTTGCTGTTAAGATGCAGTGATACGCACACAGCCCGGGAGGTGGAGAGCAAGTGCACTGTCTTTAGAACTTGTCTGGACGTGGCTCTGTGTCCTCTGGCTCGTTGCTAAACCTCTCTGTGCCTTCAGGAGGCACATCTACAGCACAGGGGTGACGAAGCAGCATGGGCGTATCCAGCACCGTGTCCTGGAGCCGTTCTAAGTATTTTCCACATGCCACTGCCTTTACTCTCCACAACAACCCCGGGAAGTAGTTAACCAGTGTCATTACTCCATTTGACAGATGAGCAAACTGAGGCACAAGGCTGAGCCAACTGTCCAAGGAAGGAGTAGAGCAGAGACTCAAATTCTGGCTCCAGAGCTTGCTCTGGGATGTTCCGATCCCACGATCCACGTGTATACACGCTCCGTGAATGCTGAGCATGCAGTATATGCGTGGGACAGTGCTAGGCACCCCACGTTTGAGCCCAGGCGGGAGAAGGCAACGGCTGTCATTTGTTTGCATGAACCAGGACACAAAGGCCGCTTGATCCCACTCCATCGCCCATAGCGTTCTAATCCCAGAGACAGAGACCGGGCTCACGGGCCCCAAGATGTGAAGAGCTCCCAAAGGGAAGAAGCCTATCATTGCCTCCCGTGCTGGGTGACGCCTCTCAGGTGAGATTAGGGCTCGCCAGGCTTTGGTTTCACGCAGGCAACTTTCAGAGGCTGCTCACCAACCTGTCTCTTCCTCCCCGAGGAGTGGTGACTGGGTCCGGCCAGTGGGGAGCCATAGACCGGCCCATGGCAGCCAGCGGGTTTCTGGGGATCCACTAAGCCACCCCACAGTCCACCCTGGAGGGTTGCTACCATAGGGCACTGAGATTGTGCAGGGGATCCCCCCTCCTGTTTTTTATTCTTATTTTTGGTAAAGTGGTTACGTTACCTTTTTTTTTTAATGTTTATTTTTGAGACAGTGCAAGCGGAGGAGGGGCAGAGAGAGGGGGGACAGGGGATCAGAAGCAGGCTCTTCGCTGACAGCACAGAGCCCGAAGTGGGGCTTGAACTCAGAATCTGAAGCAGGCTCCAGGCTCTGAGCTGTCAGCACAAAGTGTGACACGGGGCTCGAACTCACGATCCGTGAGATCTTGACCTGAGCCAAAGTTGGACGCTCAACTGACTGAGCCCCCCAGGTGTCCGGTTACCTTACTTTCATAGTGGAAAGTAATCGCTTGTTACCTTCCGAAATCTCTAGGTCTGACATCATCTAGAGCAGCGGTTCTCAATGTGGAGTGGGTGTTGCCCCCAAGGGACAAATGTCTCACTATCTGAGGCATTTCTGGTTGCCACAAGTGGGGCAGGGGGCCTGCTACAGACATCCAGGGGGTAGAGGCCAAGGATAGTGCCAAACATCCTCTAATGCACGGGACGGCCCCTCCCCCAGCCACACACACACCAAGAGAAAGTGTGGAAGTTGAGAAACTGGCCTATAGAGCCCCGTGAATCAGGCTGCCAGCTCAGAAGAGAACCCAGGAGGAGACTGAGGTCCAGAGAGGGGCAGTGACTTGCTTAAGGACACACAGCAAGCCGTGATACAACTTAGTGTTCAGATTCAGGGCTCTCACCTGGTGAGTTAATTAATGCTGTTTGTTTTGTTTTGTTTTGTTTTCCTAATTGTAATTTTTAATGGCGTGTAACTTTTGTAAATTAAGACTCCTTTCATGTTAACCCGGTACACTGAGTCGCATCTACCCTCTGACCAGGCTTGGGGAGGGATAATTACAGTTTTAGTTGGTAAACAAAACAGCTGAATCCCATGAAGCATCCCAGTTTGGGAGGGAAATGCAGACAGAAGAGAGGCCACAGTAGCCTGTGAACAAGGAGTTACTGGGCCAAGTGCCTCCTGCTGGGGCCCCGCCCCTGCTCAGGTGTCTCTGGGGCAGGTGTCTTTGGGGCTTGGCCAGATGGAGGAGGGTGACTTCACCGTCCAGGTTTCCCCTGGCATAAGCAGTCTTAGGGGGTGCGGGGAACAGGCTGGGGTAGGGCCACCTGCAGAACTGGGAAGGGGACAGGAGGAAAGGGGAGACTGAGGCCACTCTTGAAGATGACAATAAGGCCTGGCCCTCTAGATTTTTCATAAGGGCCCCAGGTGATTTTTCCGACCAGGAACATCCGGGGAATACTTGGAACAAGAGTGGCACTGCAGTAGAAGGACCCTCCAGGCAGACACAGGCCACTGGTCCTGGTGCTACCCTGCCGTGTGACACGGGTACGCGCTGCTCTGTAGCCCCCTTTCCCTGTTGGTAAGATGGTGTGATCATCCCGGCCTTGTAGGGGCCACGTCCCCGATCCGGGAAATCTGGGCGCTGCCCCGGGCCCAGCATGGCTCTCCGCTCCGCCATTAATGACGCTGGAGCAGGTTCTCAGCAGGTGGTAGTAACAACTATAATAACAGTGATGGGGTCAGGCAGGTCTGGACACCTCACTGCAGCTATCAAGTCACCAGCCCTGTCACCTGGGCAAGTCTCTTAACCTCTCTGGTCCCCAGGCCCCTCCTCTGGGACATGGAAATCAGAATACCCGGGTTGAGAGGTCTGGCCTGGCGCTGTGAGAGCAGATGGGTGATTGTCCCTCCTCCCCACTCAGTTCTTTCCAGGAATTCGAGTCTCTGCCCCCTGTGTTTGGCACTCCTGACACTGACTGAGGGCAGGTCCCGCGGCCAGCAGGTCACAAAGCCCTGAGGTCCTGCCAGCTGGCACCTTCTCCCCATCCCTGGCTCCGACAGGCCCCCCTCTTCCCTCCCCGGCCCTGTCTCAGAAAGTCGGGGGAGCCCTGGCTGCTAATGGGCCTCACCTCTCCAGGCCTTTGCCTTACAAATGGGGAAACCAAAGCCCAGAGATGGCCTGTGACCTCCACAAGAGCACACAGCAAGTCCCAGCAGTCCCTCTCTGCCCAGTGCCC